GGAGAATGTATGTATGTGAGAGGGCCAGAATGAATTATGTCTTGTACGGCCCCTCATAAATACTCCTGCCATTGCCATGTTTGGGTCCCTGGGCACTGCACTGTGGCTGCCAACAGCTCCTTTATAGTTACAGCAGAATGGGTTGAATGCACAGGATGAATATATAATTTACATGTAGTTATATGTAAAGCAACCACAAATTAGGAAGTAAACCACAGGGGAAACAAAGGTGGTGTTGTAGCCAGATGTCCACGTTAGTTTATTTTTACAGTTCAGTCTCATTTTAGGTCAGTTCAGTACTGTCATAATAGATATTCACCCTTACCAATAATTTAACAGAAAATGATCATATAAAATGGTTTAAACCCTCTTAACTTACTCCTACTACAAGGAGTTTTTAGCTGGTTATAAAACAGTCTCAATTTAATACTGATGTCTCTGTCTGACCTACATAAGCACAAGAGACCATCAGCGAGAAGATTGCTTATTTCTAGTTATTCCTAATGCCTGCCACTAGCTCAGATTCGGTGGGATTCACCTAGAAATCAGAGAAATGAGACAGTGGAAACACAACTACCTTTGTCCAAAGGAGCCACCAGAATCAACACAAAAGGAAGGTTGAATGTTGCTGGTTTAATGTAAAGTTTTCATAAATACTGAATACCATTGTTTCTCCAGCATTGCTTCACAATCACAACCTTGACAGGAAAGTTTTTGACTCCTTTCCTGACACAAGCTGATCCTCATTTCAAGACTGATGACAAATCTACGTGTGCATGTATAACTACTGAAAAACTTCAGTTAAGAGCCCAGGATTGTATTTGCATCAATCACTGACTTCACCCTGCCTATATTTGGGACAGGTGTCTATATGGGAGAGTCCTTTAATTATTGCAAAAAAACCTACAGAAATACTATAACATTGTTTATTTAAACCAGTTGCAGTTATTTGTATAAAATGTAGGCTTTTGAATAACATATCAATTATGAATCATTCATTTGATTATGATAGGTGCTTATGGTTCTTTAACTGTGGAGAATCAAACAGATTTTTTCTGAAGAAAATGTGTGCTCGCTGCTTAAAATTTCCAGTCTAATTTGAAATGGATGAAATAGTGGAAAAGTTTGAGTTGAAGTGGCAGTTGGAATACAATTAGGCTACTGACTAAATATAGTATTTATATGACAGAAGAGGGCAAAAAAGCCTTGATGTGCCAATCCTACTATCCTATTTCGTTCTGTTCACAAGAGATCATATTCCTTAAGAGAGCTCTTAAGGTGTAAAACTGTTAGAAGTAGGTAGGAGGACTTTAAAGAGGATTAAGAGTTTATTAAGCATCAGAGGAAATGTCAGAAAGAGGGAGAAGTATTCTCTAAATGCTGAATCACACAGTGTGTTCCTTGTGTTTCTAGGTGTCATGTGGTCTGTGTCCATTGAGTTCACCTCCTCCAGCTCTGAACATTTGCATTGTTTACTCTCTTACATACTCCACAATCTCTACTCTGATCCACTCTGATGTGTCTGTATATTGTCCTGCGTGTTTAGTGATGATGATGGTGATGCTGTCAATGTGTCCCAGACCTCACCGAAGTCTTATAATATGCCGAACGAGACCTATCACACAAAGGGAGAATGCAATTCCGCTTTCATATGAAAGCAGCTGTTATTATTATTACGCACTGCTGGCTGTGGGTGTCAGGTACTCCACTCTACTAGTGGGAGGATGCATCAGTTCTTGGGAAGCAGTCAATAATTCAAATATTGGTAGTCAGTACTGTATTGGCGACGCCCACAGATGTATGATTTCACTGCTGGGAGCTCAGACCCCTCAGAGCTCAGGCAGGCACATGTTTCCTCTCTCCTCTCCGCTCTTTAACAAAGTAGGCTATATAAGGGCCAATCATTTATTTCTTCCAGCACAATACTGGCCGGTGTAGGTTTGCTAATAGCCTCAAACCAATATCTAAAGTCAAACTAAAGGGCAGGTTTGGGTTGGTCTCTCCTCACGGAGTCGGCAGAGGACAGCGATGCGGACAGAGAGGATGACGCACACGTTTAACCAGGATTCTGATCTGATGGAAAGAGTGAGTTTATTAGTCATACAACATATTCAACTTCTGATATTGTACGTGTAGGCTATATTTAACCTGCTAGAGATAGAGCTGATGTTCTTTTCCCTCTTCTTATTGTCTTCGGCACAGTGTGGAGCAGGAGGACGCAGAAGAGGACCGCACTGAAGCCGCAGGCATTTCTTACTTTTTTGACCGTGACTATTGGCGAAACGCTTCTCATGTCCTACCCCCTTTTTTATTCTCATTCACAGACATTTTCAGTTTTTTGTATGATTTATTGAACAATAAATTAGATCTAAATAGAGACGAAAATATATCATTTTACTGGTGGTTATTTACACATTTACGCACTGTTAGAGAAGAAAACGGATTTTCTTAATTTGTATGGATTTTGGACCACTTTGCCCAGGCCACACCCCTCCACACATTTGTCACAGATGTACCAATCCTTATCTGTAAATACTTCTTCCTGGAATTTATAAAACATTAACTCATCATCACCCTCCGACGCTCTCTGTTTAACTGGAGTAGATGCGGATTACTCTCTGATCAGGTAGGACCAAAATATATATTATAATCATTCTAAAATCAATCAATAAATAATAATAATAATAATAATAATAATAATAATACAAATAAAAATAATACTGATAAATTATCTTTTTCACAACAGTCATTTTGGCATGAAATAGTAGGTTACCAACGATACTAAATACAGCTTTGTTCCATTCAGGTCAAACAGAGTCAGGGTACTGCTATTATACATGTGGACTCACTGGAAACTGGAACTCACTGGCTCTACTACATTAAATACAATGCAACTTTATTTAGTATAATTGGTAACACCTGTGTTTACCCTACTATTGCATGTCAAACTGGCTTCTGTGGAAAAAGGTCTATAATAAAGTATTTGTTTTTATAATTACTGATGAAAGAAATAAGTCATACTGTGATGTTCATTTGATAAAGACTGGCAGCTGTATTTGCCTGATAGAAAGATTAGTTTATGTAGTGAGCTCTCCACTACCAAACTGCCTTATTTTTTTATTATTATTATAGCTTATTAAGAAATAACACCTCATTCATGACTCTGGAATCACTTGTGTATTTCACCACACACTTCACAGATCGGGTCCGTTTGTGAGTCTCATCATCACACTGCCAAGATGAATTCAAAAGCAAGGGTTCTCATTTTCCTGCTTTGTATCACTGGCATTGGTGTGTTTTTGAGAGGACATGTTTCAGAATATCTCCTCCAGTTTCAGGACAAAAAGCCCTGTGCTTGTGACACGTGTTTAGTAGAAGATGAGTGGTTATTGCAGCGTGCCAACAAATCTGCTGAATCATTTTTATCAGCAAAACACAACCTCTCAGAGGACGCTTTCAACTGGTGGAAGGTAAGTTGTCACCATGCCAGAAAACAGTCTCTAACATTCTCATCACTGTCAAACTTTGTTTTCCAATACAACTCATAACTGGTTTAACTGTCTTTGGCACGTTCAGCACTTACAGGCTGAAAGGCGCAACTACAGTTTCTACAAGCAAACAGTGGACAAGCTGTTTCAGACATTCCCATCCAGTCCCGATTTTATAGAACGAAGCCCTGACCGCTGCATGGACTTGACCACAATCACCTGATTTGGAATCAAATGCCTTTAAACTATTACTGTAGCCAGAGTTTGTTGTCATAATGCATCATATACTCAGCAAATCCTGTTGCCTTTGTTGATTTTTGATTTTTACTGTGCAAAGACCTGTGAAAATACGATGAAGCTCAAACTCAACGTCCAAGGACTACTTTTATCTAAAAGATCCTCTTCCCAGGATGGGGTAAGGGTTAGACTTGTCAAGATTAGTAGTTTAATAGTGCAGGTTTAATTTTGTTTAATGGTGTCAGGTGGCATCGTCAACAAAAGGCGACAAAGTAAACATCTTACTCAAGACCTCTCTAGTCAGATCAACCTAAAACATGCAAACTTCGAAAGGCAGCTGATGTCTCCAAGAAATAGAATGAAACTAAATCATGCTTTTTTTGATTCATTAAATCGTCACCGTGAGGAACTACGTCCATTTAGAGGACTCATTTATTTACCCTATGAAATACTATCACATCTACAAGATGGACTGGCACAAGATTTACCAGAATTATTTTATAAGGCTCACACAAAAGTATATTTTCTTTTTTTACATGGGAACTTATTTTAGAAACTGTGGAACAAAATGCCAGACTGCATCACAGCAGATGTGGTCATTTTGGTGCTGTCCAATATTGCGTTTTGGTGCTCTTTTGGTTTACAGGCAACAAAGAAATCACCACACGGTTCGCTAACTAACATTTACACTTGCCTTGATGGCAGGCCTTACCGTACCTAGTACCAGGCTACTAGAATCACAGCTAGAAGCCTCAAAGCTTTAGACAATCTAACACATCAAATTTGGATGAAACATCTGAAAAGGCTAAAATTATGGATTTAAACGCCGTATAGGGCGGAAAAGATACGCCTTCATCACCATTCCACACACAGGATGGGCGCGAGCTACCACGCATGTGTGATAATTTGTAACATGGATGTTGACTGCATTATTGTTTTAACATGCTTTCACTCCCAAATCAACTAAGAGTACGCCCCGCTTGACACTACATGACACTATAGCCCTTCTTGTGCCACTGGCTGGTGTGCATCCATCATGTTCACGCGGTCAAGAATAAATATGGTAACTTCTGGTGTAGACCTAAGTAACTTCCAGTAAGACTTCTGAAGTAAATCGTTGCGCGTGTTACGTTGTGAAACGGTCGCAGTTTGGGTTACGTTTTGGGATCAAAACTACTTCTTAGGTTTAGGTACGAAAAGTCTTTTGTTTGGATTAGCCACAACAGTGTCATAGTTTCGAGGGTAGGAGGCCACGACTTGGAGAATGAGACATGGTCAATTTATTTTATAATTAATATACATTAAAGATCTACATACTGGGGCCAATCATCACATTAGGTATAGTTCATGAATTTGACAAGTTTATAAAAATAGAACTCACGTTCCAGAAAATCCTTGTGGTGGTGGCCTTCATGAGCCACTCAAGATCCTGTATCTTGAATGGAAACAGCACAAGATGGGTGGTGGTATCTAAGTCCATGGCACTCTCTGGATACATGACATGGATGAGTTGTTCTGCTCCCAACATCTGCTTCATAGCCTTTGGTACGACCGTGTTCATTCTAAATAGTACAGATGGAATATATTCAATAAATGTCACTCTCCTATGATTACATTCTTAGGGGACTTGCCTTGAATTTTTACTTTTTTCTGGATTATTGAGAATGTCCTTGTTTGTCCAAACACAGATTAAAAAGACAGGTTAACGAACAACATTCCTTAGCTGGAGGATTTACCTTATGATGACATCATGGAAATCTATCAGACGTCCATAATGTGATCCATTCAAATTACGAATTTCCCACCAACAGCACAAGTCT